GCCCCCGCCCCCCCCTGCCCGCTCGGCCCCCGCTTCGGCCACTGGCACAAGAACAAGGCCGGAGTGGAGGCCCGGGCTGGGCCGCGGCTGATCGTGTACGTGCTGGGCGGCGTGGCCATGTCGGAGATGAGGGCCGCCTACGAGGTGACCAGGGCCACGGACGGCAAGTGGGAGGTGCTGATTGGTGAGGAGCTGGCTGGCCCCCGGGGCAGGGCTGGGCTGAACTTCCGGTTTTGGAGGGCTGGGCAGGAGTTCCCTGAGGGTCGGACTCCCATACCCAAGGTCCCTGCACTCCTGAGCCCTGGGGCAGGGACAGGCCCCCACCAGCCAGGCAACACCCCCACCTCCTCCACTTCCTTCCCCTCCCGTCCAGGCTCCTCACACATCCTCACCCCAACCCGCTTCCTGGACGACCTCAAGACCCTGGACCAGAAGCTGGAGGACGTTCCCCTGCCCTGAGCCCCCTGCCCTGCCCGCCCCGGCCTCCTCCCTTCTCAGAGAAATAAACTCCCTTCTCTCCACCAGCCAGCGTCCACCTCACTTCCTTTCCCCGGGAGCTGTGCTAGACTAGACTTGACCTCAGGCCTCACCACTCCCTATTGCCCTGCTGGAACCTTCCCCTGGTCCCCAAGGGCATCTAAAGTCCTCATGGAGGTTAAGAGTTTAGGCACCGGTGTGAATATTGACTCTAAGGTTTACGCGCTGGGAGGCCCTGGCCACCCTGATGAGGTTCCCCATCCAAGATCAGAGGACAAAGTGACAGATACAGTGCAGGAAGGGTGGCAGCCTGGGAGCCCAGCAGGGTGGCTGCTGTCACCCCATGGTCCCTGGAGTTCTTTTGGCTGCTCAGACGGAACTCTTAGTCTTGTTACTATTATTATTATTTCTAAATAATTAGTTTGTTTAACTTTATTACTACCAGAATAACTAGTTGTTTTCTGCCTGACAGAAAATGTGCTGCCATTTATTCTGAGGCATGGAAAGTCTGCGAGCAGCGGTCTCGAATCAGTAGTAACGCTTTTCTTCAGATTGTGGTGTCATCAAAGTGAAACCTGTAATGCTTGTCAACTATACTCTGAGATAAATTTTGTAAGTGAAGGCAGCAATAAAATGCTTTGTTGCAAAAGTTAGAAATGATCTAGGCAGGAAATTTTTAAGGCAGTTGGGATGGTAGAATGGAAAGAACTGAGAAATCAGTTATCTAGCAGTCAGCAAAAAATGAAAAGTATCTCTGTAAGTGCTTGGCAAATGGGCAAACTGAAATGATCAAGTATACATTTTATCAGTGAAACAATTTACATGAAACGTTGGGCATGTAGGCCAGCTGTACTGGTAACAATAGTAACACAAAATTTAACGATGCGGAAACCATATGAGGAGGTCCTGGGTTTGCATCCTAGCCCCCTGCTTTATATACCAGGTGAACACATGCCCGTGATCCTGGCTGGCTGAGATTTGGGTGGACTGTGGTGTAAAGACAATGAGGTGATGTCTCTTTTCTTCTCTTTTCCACAACAAAACAAGAAAAGAATCTGTATGAAAAAAATTTTTTTCCCGTAGATTGTATACACTTGCCAGAGAGAGACAGAGATAGTGAAACTTATAAATTGTCCCCTGGGGTGATGGTCAAGCTGTATTCCCTTCTCTTCCATTCTCTTATTGGGATTTTGGGCATGTGCACACATACTCTAAGCATGATTTTCAAGCTGCCAGGTCTGGGACTCGAACTATAGTCAGCCATGTGGGAGTCTAGTGCCCAAAGCCACCATGCCACTTTCCAGTCCCTATTATTATTTGTAATACCTTTTTCTCTTATTTGCCAGAGGGCAAGTGTGGTCCCCAGAATGAAACTGAGGAAGCACCTCCTAAGGGGACATTACAGGACCCACTTGGGAGTGCCTGTCTCTTTCTTATGAATAAACTTTTTTTTTTTTTTTTGAGAAGTTTTTTGCAGGATCTGAGCATGTGGCCAGCCCCAGTGTTCACCAGAGAGACAGAAAAAGAGAGAGAGAAAGCAAGAAATCACACACACACACCCCCAGGGGGATATGGCCATGCTGCAATCCCTTCTCCATTCTCCTCT